TATATATATATATATATATATATATATATATATATATATATATATGTGAAAAGTGTATAAAATATAAATAAATATATATATGTATAATTATTTATATATTATATGCGCGGTACTTATTAGAAAGCGCTCAATAAATAACCAGCTTTAATATAATAACAATGATAATTTTGTAAATTAAAAATTAAAAATTATAGCAATCTTCAACTACCATAATTTTACACAGAATACCTATTATCAGGATTTATACCAAAATAAATTAATAGATATAACAAAATAAAATAAAATAAAATAAAACACCAACAATCACTTTTTAGTTCAAGCTACCACCACTAGCTACCACCACTATAACTACATTCATGGTTTTATCATTCTCCCACCACAGTTACTAATCATTTCTACCAATTTACAATTTCTACCAATTTACAATAACTATTAGCTAATTATATTATCACTGTCTCCAATCCCTTGCAACATTACTATCACATCATATCATATAGACCCGTTATTAAATTAAACTACCCTCTCACCCAGCACATTAAATATTAAACATCACCATATAAATTAACCAATAAGGATTACAAATTTCTACCTGTTACATGTACACAGCCACCAAAAACAAATAACCAGCTTTAAATATAACAAATAAACCCCATTTTTTTTTTTCAAAATTTAAAAAATAAATATAAATAATAATAATTTTTTACCTATCATAATTTTACATTAAACCCCACCACACGTATATACATACATGCGAGGAAATATTATTCAGCGGAAAAATAAATAATATGACATGTATATATTCACGAAACATTCACGAGACATTTCCGCCACACTTCCAATCTTTAAATTTCAACATTTCAACATACAAATGCGTATGTATAGACACAACACCACCCGTATACATACATATGTCATATCCGAAACTGCCCACATATGTTTATATATGTATGAGTCCCGACCCAAATTTAAAAAAAAAAAATCAGTTTGTCTGACGATCGCTAAAGCGTGAAACCCAGGGTCACAAACTCACATCTATCTAACCATATATATATATATATATATATATATATATATATATATATATATATATATACACACTGAATAAAGCAAAGTTAGAAACACCCAGAGCCTATCTACATAGGTCTACTTAGGTAGATAGGTTCTGGCTTTTAGGTATTCTATATATATATATATATATATATATATATATATATATATATATATAAAGAGAGAGAGAGAGAGAGAGAGAGAGATATATACATATAGTATGGCCATAAATTATCTGTGAAGTCTGTACAGGATGCACATTGCACTTTTTCTTGCTATATTGTCAAGGGTCAATAATACGCGCTTTTAACATCTGCTTTAAAAAGAAGCGAAAGTGAAAGACGAAGGACAAATTATACATAAAATAAAACTTTAATAATATTTCTTTAACATGCGAAGAAGTTTATTGATGAATCTTAATTGTAATGGATACAATAAACTGTAGGAATTTTATAGCTAATCTATTGACGCCCTGCACGCACACACACACGCATATATATATATATATATATATATATAACATGCAGTCTTATATATTCGTATGCATCAATATTTCTATTTATATTGGTGATCAGAAATCAGTAATTTTGTGTCTGCGTTCTTCATTAAAATACATGGATACACACATGATATAATATTGTAATGAACGTTTAATCAATTTATTAGAAGCTAATGTCCGAGTTATGAATAATGTCAATTATTAACTTTATCTAATGTAATAAAAATTAATGCCAGCTGAAATTTCTCGTAATTAATGACGAAGCCTAATTTAATATAATTGATTTGTCTGTAGTAATGCAATATGAGTTAAGTTTCACTGAAAGGTTTTGTCCATTAAAAAAAGAGGAAAAGACGAAAAAGAAAAACGTAGAAAAGAAGAAAGAAAGGAAAAACACATACAAACATTTAAAAAAAAAAAAAAGAACAACTTGCATAAGAGATACAACGACTCGTATTGTGTTTGCTTTTTTTTTTTTTCGGCCCAAACTGGCTTTTAGAAGAATACCGATGAAATGGTTGACACGATTGCTTACGATTCCTGTTTCAGTGGCATAGATCCTAAGTCTGGTTAGATGAGCGAAGAATTCAATGAGTCGAGGTCATATTCCAGTAGGGTTTGTTTATTTCGCTTTTGAACAAATAACCATGAGTAAGGTATGAATATTTTCACTCACTACGCAGTTAAGGGTTAAAAGTCCCACGAAGAGCCTTGTTTGTTGATTTTATTTAGCGGCATATCAATCTGTATAAGTTATTTAGTTCCGAAATCAAAATCTTTTGAACACAATTTTATGGCTTCAACTAAATATATTTTGCATGCCTTCAACCATAGAACAAAGGTATTGTTGCTCATTTTGCCATAATATATATTGTTAGTGTATAGCTGGCCACTCGTATTCGAGGATACCTGCTACTAGGGCGGCTAGCCAATCCCTATTGCGGATGCTTGCTCAGGCGCATTTGTGTTTATTCAACACCCACAAAACCCGCCTGTAGTTTTTACTGTAACTATGCTGAGCAGACCTTAGTTAAAGTTTCTGAGAAAGAACGTGATATCTATCGTGATCAACAATTTGATAAGGCCAGCCCATTCAAGCCCTCGGCCACGATGACTTGTGATTTCGTGCTAGCACAGCTATCGATGGCGTCCAAGGGTTCCATTTATCCAATTTCTCTCACAAGGCTGAGTCAAGTCTGATAACATCAGGAAGATTCCTTGGTGAGATTCGAACCCGGGCCTCATGGTCAGAATACGAACGTTGTAACCACTCGGCCCATACTGTTGTTATCAATTCTATTATAAATACGTAATGTTGGTAAATTTACTATAAATAGTTATTGTGGTTAATTTAAATATAAGTAGGTACGTCATTCCTTTTCTTTATTATCGGTGAATTGCCATTTTTTTTCTTGATAAAGACATTGGAGTGATCTCCCGTTGCCCACGGTTTCGATTCCAGATTTTTTCCTTCTCTCAAACTGGTTGCCATCCAACGTTTGAGAGGATAGTTCACCGATCTAACAAGCGGGTGTGAAAAGCGAAAGAGAAAGATTTATGTCTTTTCCGAGGACATTGATATGAAAGTGAACGCAGCAGACTAGTCTAGGAATTGAACTTGGCTTGCCAAATTCATTTTTTGCGCTAATTGTTGTTACCCACACACCGAAGCCGTAACTATTCAGGTAAGCGATTGAAAATTGCTCCCAAAAACGAAATTGCTACAAACCAAAACATTAACTTAAAGACTCGTGTCGTATTTTTAAATATCCGCGTCATATCGATATTATCATATGGATGTCATGGATGACGTCAAACGCATTCACAAATATCTGAAGTTTCAGCTGTATACGAAGGCTTTCTAAGAACTATGTTTAAAAATGGCTTTGGACGAGTGGAGACCATATTTCTTGAACATTACAGTCTCAGAAACAAAAACCTGAACCAAATAACAGAAACCCCGTCACTTGAGGACTTCCAACAGTAGCAACAGCTAAAATGGATAGCATATGCAATTCCTCGAAGAGAGAATAATGACATAACCAAGATGATGACTTTTCACACTACTGTAAACAAAAATATTGTCTACTTCGAAAAAATAGTTAGGAAGGAAACTCGTATCAATAATGGAAGGAGCGATAACGGACTAGAGTAAATTATATTTCTGAAAATTGTTTTAATAGATAGATTTTATATATTTCATTCGATTCGAGAACTGGCTTTTTCTCTCAATTGTTGTAGCACTGGTTTTTCTCTTCGAATATTTTCTTATAAGAAAACAGCTAATTTTACCATTAATTTTTATTGCTTCATTCGCGAAATATAAAATTCTGGAGATATTTCTTCATAGTGACAGTTTTTGGAAATGTTTGTCGCGAGGAGAATATTTTGACAAAATTAAACATACCAATTGCTAAGACGATACTTTTTGTAATAAAATGTTTTGAAGATGATGTGAATAAACATCGAAGTATGAGAAAAAATTGATCTCCTCTGTGTTAAAGGAATTATTGATTATTGAATAGCTCGAAGCATATTTCGTTGGAAACATTCAGTCTTTATAGATGTCTACACGGATACGCCTCTAAGTTTATCAAGCTGATTTAGCGAAATTTCTCCTGCCCATTTCCCAATAAGCAAAGTTTCTCTGCTTATGTGGTATCTTTTATCACGACCGTCTTTAGGGCAAATAGCCGTTATTCCAACGAGAACAGGTTTTGTATCGACCCACGTTAAAAAGCGGCTCTACCATCTTCTGTCTTTCCATTGATTAATGCGGCGTCGAGCTCAAGTAGGTATGTGAAGTGGGTATCTGAAGAAGCATCCTGCTGACACGATCTTGCACTGCTTGCGCAAATATGGCTGCAGGTTTTGAAGAGAAGCTCTCAGCTCTCTTCCGATGCCTGTATATTATACTCGAAGACTATTTTTCGCGTTCCTTTATCTACTTTGGGGAAGGTGTAGGTTGGCGTAACGGCTATCATCTTTGAAAACGGAACCGGCGTGTTGTGTTCCAATTTCGGCAGATGATGTATTTTGTTCAATTTCCTTTACGTGGAGTATGGATCACAAACTTCGTGCAGACTTTCTCATGGCAAGTGTTGTTGAAAGAATATGTCACAGTATGCTACAATGGTTAAAACATAGAGTTGGTAAGTGGATAAATATACAAGGCAGGACGACACAAAAGGCCTTTTTATATTATTGTTTACCTAATATTAGTCCTAAGAGCCACTCAAGGTAGAGTGTAAGGTTTTAAAAAAGAAGCCAAAAGTGAATATTATAAATGTCAATTCATGTTTTACGGCTTATCAACACTTTGCAGGTTATTTAAAGCCAGGAAATATGTTTAGATTGTAAGTTTTTTTAAAATATTAATCATTTAATGATATGCGTTTTAGGGGAGATGAGGGAGTGTATTTATCCATTACACTAATCGCATCCAAGCTTAGAGCACCTGGTCACCCATTTAGGTACTGATTAGGCTCGAATATGCTTAACTTCGGTGATCGTACGCGAATCGGTGTTTCAACATGGTGTGGCTGTAAGCTCGCACATCCTAAAGATATTTAGAATAGGTAAAGATTGTCAATAGAGTTGAAGAGGCTAAGATTGCAGTGATCAGGGAAGCAATCTCTCGGGAGTCCGTACGACAAAGTGACAGTTCTTGGAAAGCAGCTGCGTAAGAGGAGCTTCCTCCTTACCTAGGGAATACGAAAGGAATGACACCGTGTACGTGACATGACGGGTTCTAGCCGTGAATGTCTAAACAGGTGGAACTAATGCTGCTCGGCTGCACATTTGTCACAGAAATTTGGGAAAGAGTAGCGAGAGAGGCTTTTACCCTCTTTGTAAACCTTGACAATTGAATTCAGTTAATCAATGTGTTAATGTTTGAACTGCTTTAGTCTTAGGCTGATAAGACATAACGGACAACGCGTTTTGTAATTCTATTCTCACATAAATTTTGCATAGCCGTATTAAGCTATCATGTAGCAAATCTTTTTTTGTTGTTGTTGTAATGTTCATTATTAACAAGACCCGGGTAGAAGGTTAAGTTAGAGGGAATTTATGAAAATAGAAGTGGAAGATAATTGTTAAACCTAGCCTTGAAAAGGTTAAGATTTTAGTGATTAGGGAAACATCCTCTTGGGAGACTGTTCGACAGAGCACTGGATTGCAGGAAAATGTGAGAGTTGAACTTCTTAGCGATTGAACACGGGGGTGGGTGAGTGATTTTGATACTATCTCAGTGGCATGGCGTCACCTTGCCGTGAACGATTGAATTGGCGGGACAAGGGGATGTAGTTCATCCGGCTACTTTCCGTGGGAGTAGCGATAGAGGCAACGAGACGTTTGACACATCCCCGGAAAACTAAGGTGCTACTAAAGTTTGGATGGACTTTCTTCTCATTATTTGAAAAATTGTCAGAAAAAATTGCTGGTAACGAAATTTAACATTTAGTTACTATGGGTTTTTCTAATCTGTCAACTCGTATTTCGAAAGAATTTTCAGAGTGAAGGCATGAACTCAACCTTCTATGCATGTAATCCCACCACCAGTCATTTTGACTATTGTCTCTTTATCGATACTTGCTTAGGAGAGAGAGAGAGAGAGAGAGAGAGAGAGAGAGAGAGAGAGAGAGAGAGAGATATATATAGAGAGATATAGAGAGATATAGAGAGATATAGATATAGAGAGAGATATAGAGAGATAGAGATATAGAGAGATAGAGATATAGATAGAGATATAGAGAGATAGAGATATATAGAGAGATATAGAGAGATATAGAGAGATAGCGGGAGATAGAGGGAGAGTATTTATTTTTCCGTGGTTTTCTTTGTTTCTTCTTACTTTCAAAATTATCACCGAAATTGTCTGTCTTTGTTTCTTTCTTTATTTCTTTCTTTCTTTCTTTTATTACATTTTTCTTTCGTTCTTTTATATCTTTCTTTCTTTTATCTTTCTTTTATAACCTTCTTTCTTTTTTCTTTTTATTACCTTCTTTCTTTTTCCTTCTTAATTTAAATCTCTCTTTCTTCCTTTTTCTCTTTTCTTTCTTTCTTTTTTCTTTATTACCTTCTTTACTTTTTCTTTCTTTCTTTTTTACCTTCTTTCTTTTCTCTTTCTTTTTTCTTTCTTTCATTCCTTTATTTCCTTTTTCTTTCGATCTTTTCTTTCTTTCTTTTTTACTTTCTTTCTTTTATTATTTTCCTTTTCTTTGTTATATTCTTTTCTTTCTTTGTTTCTTTCTTTCTTTTATTACTTTCACGTTATTACGGCCTGGTAAGGCCAAACTTTTGTTACCTTCTAAAAATTTTTTCTTTGTTTTTTTTTTCAACCTTCTCACCGAAATAATTTGTCATTTTCTTTCTTTTTTTTTCTTTCTTTCTTTATACCTGACTACGTTCTATTTATTTTAAATTTATGTTTGTCTCTCCCCGTTCATCAACTCACCAACCAATTTTTTTTGTTATTGTTTCCTATTAAGCTCTTGTTCATCCCCATCAATATTTATTCTTCGTTTCCGCCCCCGTAAAAATTCCCAAGCCAAATGTTTTTTCAGAAAACGCATCCTTCTAAATATCTTACTGACTCTCTCTCTTACTGTATCCTTCGAGTTTGTCGACATTTCTCTTTTATTTACTTATCTGGGAATCACACATTCTTTTCACTTCACGCCCGATCCAGTGATTATCAGTGTTTTCTACTGCTTTCATTTTCACATTTGAACTACCAGCTTCTTTTTTGCTTGTTTAAACTTTCTGCTCGAAAGATAAAATTCAGTCACAGATTATCTCCCTTTACTTCATCCAGTTTTTGCCATTGTCAACGAATTCTTGAGGATACCTTTCTCTTACGTTTACAGACGTTTTTTTTCATACGCTTTCTAAAAAAAAAAAAAAAAAAAAATCATTAATCTCTTTGGCGTTTCGAGATTAAAGACATGCTACTGATTTACGTTGAGGTAATTTTTTTTATGACCTGACACTGATGTTACCTTCGACAATAATCACCTGGCTAATATAAAGAATAGTTTATACCGTAAGTTCTGTTTATATCCTTGAGTTGAAACTTGAAAGATTGAGCTACGGAGTGCAATATATCTAATACTAGCAGTAGGGCCCGGCGTTGCCCGGGGATGTAACAGTAAGAGACAGATCAGGTATCGACCATCATAAAGACTGAAAAATAAAATTGACAAAGATTATTGTTTAAGGTTGACGGACACGAATGTCTTAAATAGTTTTTTTTTCTTTTATGAATTGGTCAAGCCCAAACTCAAACAGAAAGATTGTATTCAATCTTTATGCGTCTACCGATTGAATAGAATTTTATTATAAACAATTGTCTTGTAAATGGAATTTTTAAAGCATTCTGAATGTAAAAATAAAGAAAAATGTGTGCAAGACAATAAGAAACACTACCTGACAAAAAAAGTGAAATTTTGTTGAAATCGGTTGAAAAATGTAGGAAATCCGATCCCATATATAAAGGAACACACACACACACACACACACACACACACACACACACACACACACACAACCTAATTTTTATATTAAGTATAACTCGATATGAGTTTTCCCCCTTTAATTCTCGCGACAGCGATGGCTCTTAATCGTGTTTTCAAATTGATTTCGTGCAAAATCAATTGTTTTTCCAATTTTGGCACCGTCAGAACCACCACAAGGTAATTTTACGTAGTCCTGTGAAGTTTTGTTGAAATCGGTTGAAAAATGCAGAAAATCCGATCCCATATATAAACGAAAACACACACACACACACACACACGCACACACACACACACACACACACACAATCTGGGTTTTATAATAAGTATGATATTACATCGAAAATGAGTGTTAGGGACGATGTGATTTGGTCGTTTGTTGTATAATATATAATAAATACTGATTCATAGAACTAAATGTGGATTTGCATATATAAAAATAGTATTAGGTTATTGTTATAACCAAAAAAGGATACTAATGTATCTTCTTGTTGTCTTTTCCTTTCAGGGCATGAGAAGAATATGGCTCTCCACAAGTCCCTGTCCTTTAAAACTTTTAGTATTTTTGTCTTTTCGCTATCTCTCCTAATCCCTGTCTGCCAGACATTTACACAAGCTCGTTAGGTAGGTTATTCGCTGATTTCCTCTCTCGCACTTGCCATTAATATATCCTGTCAGTGTCAAATTTTCTAAGCACTCTTTTCTCGTTATGTGCCCTAGAATTTTGAACGGTTCCCTTCTGATGTTAATCATAAGTGTCCTTTTTGTTTCCATTTTCTCTAAAACTTTGTTACTGCTCACATGTTCAGTGGTATTCTCAGCATCCTTCTGTAGAACTACATTTTTCTTGTTGTCACAAGTCTCTTTTTCTGTGATGAGATTGTCCAGTATTCTTTGCCATAGAGGAGGATCGATATTACAATGTTAGTTAAGTGCCCTTTTTTTTGTTTCGAGATCTTCCTTTCTCTTAATACTTTGCTTAGGTTTGGAAAAGCATCATTCCTAATACTGATGCGCCTTCGGATTTCAGTGTCAAACTGTCCGTCTTCTGTTAAAACAGTCCATTGATATTTACATTTTTGTACATGCTTTATAGTTCTTCTTTATTAAAAGACTTACCTGGCTCTTCTTGTTTGTGTCACGCGCCCTTGTGCAAGACGTGACAAAGATCAGTAAATGTATCACTATTTTGGGTAATTTAATGAATGTTATTTCTTTGATTTCTTGATGTAATGAATATAATTTGCACAAATGCATCAACAAATATTTCTGATATGTCCCGGAAAGGGATATATTTGTTCGAAGTAGCAAAGTGGTTGTTGACTACTGTAACCGGGTAGGACAATCTAGCAGGTAACCGTAATGGACTGGTCCTCGTCGTAGTGGTAGGCTATAGGCGAAGACAATAGGCGTAGCCCATGTACATCCACATCAGTCTGTATTTATGGCTGACACCATATTACTGTAAGGGGAAACCCAGGTGTATGCATATTCATTACATCAGTTTTAAACATATTTCCATACGTCTGACATCTTTTTTTCAGTGCCATCAGACAAAGGTTCTCTTAATGACAGTAAAAACATCTTCGGTTGCAAAATTCTCCACTGTCTTGTTTCCGTTTTCATTTTGAAAAGATGACAAATGGTTGAAAGCGTCTAGAAATAGATACCCTAGAGACGTCACTTTTATGTCAGTTTCTTCATGAGCAAAGAACTTGTGAGGAAAGAGAGAAAATCACCAAATAATAAATACAGAAAGAATAGTAAGATGTAGTGACCAGAAATGTTTTTACCGACATTAGCATAACCGATGTGTGATATTTACAACTCGGATTACCAGACAGCTGAAAAAAAAAAAAAAAAAAAAAAAAAAAACAGGACACAATGTGTGATAGTGAAAACAAAGATGAGGATATTAGTCTGACTGCTAATTATAACAATAATGATAAATTCTCATTCGCAGAAATTTAGACAGATGTAACACAATAATAATATTTATCGTAAGAAATGCTTTGATGAATGTTTTTATAAC